ATGCCCCACAGCAGGGCTGCAGCCACGAGGGGGGACGCTTCCTTGAGCCCCCTCCAACGAGATGAGAGGGGACAGAGATAGGGACTTACTGCTCCGGACAGGCTCCGCCAGCGCCTCCTTGCCCAGGGACTGTGCCTCCCGCATCTACCAGGGGAAAGGAGTGTTTTCCAGCCTCTAAACCCTCCCAAGCATGCTCCAGAGCCCCCAGCCATGCTGCAGAGCTCCCCCAAGCCTCCGCACCTTCAGCTGATCTTTCAGGTATTCAGCTCGGGCCATCAGGGTCTGGATCTGGCAAAGAGAGAGGAAAGTCCCTTCCATGCAATGCCAAGGGTGACAGGCTGCTGTCCCACAGCTGGCACTCACCTCTGCATGGAGCAGCTCCCGTCGCCTCCCCGCAGGCTCCGCTGCAGAGGGATGTGCCGTCAGACCCGCTGTGGGCGCAGGATCCGTCCCTGCCCGCGTGCCCCCGCCACGGCTGCAACTCACCGGCCAGGAGGAGCAGCAGCTCTCCCAGGCTCTGCTGGTAGAGCTCCAGGGTGTCACCGTCGTCTTTGCCTTCCTCTTCCTGCAAAGGGACCCCAGGTGCCGGGCTGCAGTTGGGGGAGACACCGGCTCCCTCCCCACCCAGGGTCTGCTCTCTCCCCGTCCACTCAAGGGGAGAGGGGACCCCCCAAATCCAGGACTCACCTTAGCGATGGCAGCAGAAGCCACTTCCAGTGCAGCGCAGAGCCGAGGCTTGTCCTTGGCCATCTCTGCCGGGGGGGACCCCAGGGAGGCACCCTTCAGCCCGAAACCCCACCAGGTGCCCCCTTCCTGCTCTGCCGATGCCAGGGCAGGGGGTAGATCCCCAAATCCCGCTACCTTTAAGGAGCGCTCTGGCCGGGTTCCCTTGCTGCAGGAGGTTCTTGCTGCTGGAGGTGACCAATGCCTTCAGCTCCTCCGCTCGGGAGATGTACTGTCCCACCTGCCCACGGGTCGGGGGGGTTAGCAGACCCCCGCCACAGGGGACAGAGGATGTGGGGCACCTTGCTGAGCTAAGCTGGGCAGGGAAGGTGGGGGGGATTTTTGGCTCACCTTGGCACGGATGGCTTCTTTCCGGCGAGCGT